CAGAGCAGGATGGGGTGCTGGGGGTGCACAGGGTTTTTTGGGGGTCACACAGGCCCCCGGGGGTGCACAGGGTGGGTGGGAACCAGGGCTGCAGGTGGGTAACTGCGGCAGCACAGAGGGTGGGTGAGGTTTGCAGGGGGTGCTGGCACCCACGGGGGCCTCGTGGCCGCCCCTCCACGCTCCCCCCGTCCCTCCCCAGGGCCCCCCATCCCGCTGGCACGCTGGCACTGCACCCCATGGACGGCGTGTTCCTGTCCCCCAACGAGGATGAGTTCGTGGGCAGGATCTCCGAGGAGCTGGAGCACTTCATGGAGCAGGGGCAGCACCACAGGTGGGGGTCTGGCCGAGGGGGCAGGGGGGCCCTGTGTGACCTGACCCTCTCCCTGCCACCCTCTGTGGTCCCTGGGCAAGGGCAGGTGTCCCTCCAGGGGTGTCATGACTTGTGTTTTACGTTTTCTGGGGTGAAAGCAGCAGCATTTGGAGCCTGGCTCCAAGGTTTGTGTGGCTCAGAACTTCCCTGTGGGCCAGGGATCAGTGTAGGATCTGCCATGGGCCCTCCTCTGTTCCCACTCCCTGCATTTACCCCAACCTACCCCCTGATCCAGTGACCTTTGAAGCCCTTGAGGTGGCCAAAAAGAGGGTGCTGGGCAGGAGCAGGGCTGGGATTGCTCAGTTCAGTTCCCTGCCAGCTTGTGATGACCTTTAAATATTTGTTTTGCTGCTTTTGTTTTATAAACCTTTGGCAGGGAAGTCACCTGGGCAGTTGTCAAACACTTGGGGAAGGAAACTGAAGTGGGAAAAAAAACCTTCTGGATGCAGGGAAATTGAGTTGTTGATTTATCCATTCATGTTTTGCTCCTGGGTTTTGGAGCACACTCGGAGTGGGAGCAGTGGGACCAGTAGCAGCATTCTGCTGGTGCTTCCCAGCCTTTCCCCCATGGATGTAGGCCAGGACCTGGGATAAGGCATTCCCAGCTGCCCCATGCTCCAGAGCTGCCTGCAAAGAAAGTGTGTCTGGCTCCACATCTGGGATAGAGAAGGGATTTGGGCTCTTTTCATAAAGTCCTGCTTGGCTTTTGGGCTCCAATTTAAGCCCTGGACTGGGACTGACTTGGGAGAGAGGTGGTTAAATTTTTGCTTCGTTCCCATCCTTTTCCCTCCTGCAAGTTGCTGGTGCCCTGAGCCCTCTCTGCCTTTCCAGGGTGCTCCTGTTCCCCCCTCTGTCCAGTCGCCTCCGGTACCTGATCCATCGGACCGTGGAAAACATGGATTTGTTGAGCAGCTTCTCGGTGGGGGAAGGCTGGAGGAGGAGGACGGTCATCTGCCACTCAGCTGTGAGGTTGGTGGGCTTGGGGTGGTGCTGCTTCTCCTGGGGCTTTGTGGAAGCTGACAGGAATCCTGGAATGGTTTGGGTTGGAAGGGGCCTTAAGGCTCATCCAGTTCCATCCATGGGCAGGGACACCTCCCACTAGCCCAGGTTGCTCCAAGCCCCGTCCAGCCTGGCCTTGGACACTTCCAGGGATCCAGGGGCAGCAACAGATACTCTGGGAATTCCATCCCAGCCCCTCACTGCCCTCACAACCAAAAATTCCTTCCCGATATCCCATCTAACCCTCTGGCAGTGGGAAGCCGTTCCCTGTGTCCTGTCCCTCCATCCCTTGTCCCAAGTCCCTCTCTAGCTCTTGGAGCCCCTTCAGGCCCTGGAAGGGGCTCTCAGGTCTCCCTGGAGCCTTCTCTTCTCCAGG